CAAAGAGATACAGATCGTTTGAAAGATGTAATGTAAGGAGAAGTCACCGAGAGAAAGTATAGAGGTCAAAATCAAATACATGCATAGATGACAGATAGAAAAGACAAAAAATCACGGAGATCAAAAGGAATCTTGAAACGCAACAAAGAACACGAAAATATATTTGTACAACGTAGTTATTTATTGTATAATAATATTAAGAATGTTAAGTTGTTTAGTATGTATGAATGTAGAGTTGCAAATGGAAATCATATGCAGAGTTCGTCGAACCAAATTAAAAGACCCAGGCTTTTGTTTGTCGATAAAAAATATTTGTTCTGAAGTATTCACTTTGTTTTTTGGAGATTCTGATTTTTTTGCAAATTTGAACAGCAAACGCCTCACCATCAGGCCAGCGGTAATCTAAACAGCATCACGTTATCATGTGATACCCGGATACAACTCATGCATTGCCATTCTAGTAGCCTAATATATCATGTCCCCAGCCTATAATTTCACTACCTAATCTGCACCCTACCGAAACACAGCTTAAAATAAGCTACTGGAAGCTGAAATGCGACTTAAGTACACAAGCAGAAGACTTTTGCAGTGTACCTACGGTTACGTTCATTTTAGTAAGTTACATAAATAGTAGCGATATAGACCCTTCACTAAATAAATCGTAGATTTTGTCACGTCAGTTGTTTAATATCAATAATTTTTACGACTATTATTCGATATGGGGTAGGTTTTTTTTAGTGAATAATAATGAATGGTGCACCCACCTGTGCTAACTGTGCTGTGTGTGTGCAGTGGAGGATGGTAAGATGAACATGAGGTCAGGTCAATTAGCCCATCGTGACAAATTCACCAGGAATTTCTCACGACGGTTTCCAGGGGGAACCGCGTGGAGGTCAACCTGACATGGTACATTGCTATGTGTAATGACCCCATTATTCATCCCTTGTGGGGTAGGTAGAGACGACGATTTTGTGACGACCTTGGTCTAGTGGTCTAGCACACCGCTTTACGTCCGAGGGTCGCAGATTCCTCGCACTGCACAAACATTTGTATTCATGAGTATGATTGTTTGTATCGGTCTGGATGTTTTCTCTGTGTAATATTTACGAAAATATATCTATGTATTTGTATCAGTTATCTAGTACCCATAACACAAGCTTTAGCTAACTTAACTCGGGTCTAGATGGCGCTGTGTGAATTGTCCTGAGATTATTATTATTAAAGAGGCATTGCAACTGTTGGAACGACTACATTTCTATGAATATATACATATATTTGAATTCGTCGTAGCAGTAAGTTAGAGTGTCTCTTGTATTCTCTGTATTTCCATCACTAATCACTGATAACCGTCTCTTGAATTCTGTGTATTTTATCACCAGTAACTGATGTATTTGTGATTGGTGATAGCAATACAAAGAATTCAAGAAACATCTAGAATTGACTTGGCTTAAATTGACACAAAATTTTGTGTCTTTTAAACCAAGATTCCAACTCGTTATCTTGATTCTAACTCGTTTTCTTTGAGAGTATAATTCCAGATAGTGATCGATTAGGGCATAATATTTTTTTTATTGATTTATTAATGTAATTAATTAAATAACATATTTACCGATTGTTATCTTGTTAACAATTCGTTGTTAAAATGTTTGGTAACAGTTTCATATTAAAAAATGTAAATTGGTGAATCCTAATCGCATTACACGTATCGAAATCAGATCACGTAGTTATAAATAAGTGGGTCACGACCTGGTGGATTTCAATTATGAACAATTAATGAATATATCTACGTATTTAACTATTTCTATCAATTGTTTATTATGCATAGAATTGAATTAAGGTTTTTTGAATCATCCGAGTGCATCCGGAACCTCTTTACTCAGGCTTTATCCCCCGGGTCTCAGGGTAGCCAAGATCAGCTTTCTTCCAAAGGTTTAAAAGTTCATGTATATTATATGATGATAGAATAAAAGTACAATTAATTAGTAAACTAAACGTGTATATATAATAATAATAATAATAATCTCAGGACAATTCACACAGCGCCATCTAGTCCCAAGTTAAGCTATCTAAAGCTTGTGTTACGGGTACTAGATAACTGATACAAGATACAAATACATCCATGAATACAAATGTTTGTGCCGTGCAAGGAATCGAACCCGCGACCATCGGACGTAAAGCGGTGTGCTAGTCCGCTAGACCACCGAGGTCGTCGGTATATATATATATACAGTAGTAGTAAATTGTTTAGTACAAACATTTGTATTAATGTGTATGATTGTGTATATTGGTTTTTGTTTAATATGTATGTATTTATAAAAAAAATATATATAACATAAATAACCATGCCATCTTTTATGTACTACTTTTATAACAAATAAATTTCATTTCAAAAGATAATCACGCAGACTTTATAAATAGTCTACTTCAGTCTTCATGTCAATTTTAATCAATAATTATATATATAATACTATATAGTCTGATTAGGAGTTCCGGCAAACGTTATTTTGCCATTAAATTTGATATAGCTATAGAAAAATAGAGGTTCATGATAGAGGGGTTAAAATTTAGGGATTATAATATTATTTTACTAGCTACCCGACCCTGCTTCGTACGGGTATACATGTTTTATACATATAAACCTGTCTCTTGAATCAATCACTCTATTGCTAAAACTGCGTTAAAATCCGTTGCGTAGTTTAAAGATCTAAGCGAACAGAGAGCGGTACCGAGACTACGGGATGGAGTTTTTCAAGAAGGGTATATTAAGGTTTCTTAAGAGTCGGCAACGCGCATGACACCTCTGGTGTTTCAGGCGTCCATAGGCTACGGTAACCATTTATCATCAGATGGGCCGTATGCTTGTTTGCCACCATAGTAGTATAAAAAAACCGACTACATTTTATCCGTTGTAACAAACAAAATATAAAGGTGTGTCTGTCTTTTTACCTAAAGATATAAAAAAACAGCTTATTCTTAGACCTCAAGGTTTCTTAAGAGTCGGCAACGCCCATGTGGCGTATCAGGCGTCCATAGGTCCATTTACCATCAGACGGGCCGTATGTTTGTTTGCCACCATAGTAGTATAAAAAAAACAAATTCATTTTATCCTTTATAACAAAATAATATTTTTTTTAAAGGAGGGACTGTCTTTTTACCTAAAGATAGAAAAAAAAACAGTTAACAGCTTATTCTCAGACCTACCGAGTGTACGTATAAAATTTCTTCAAAAACGGTTTAGTAATTTAGGATTCTATTCCGGACAAAAGACATTTTCATATATTACTAGCTACCCCGCTGTGCTTCGCAGGGCTGTTCATGTATTACAGGCATATACATATAAACCTTCCTCTTAAATCACTCTATCTATTGTTAAAAAACTGCATTGCGTAGTAGATCTTTTAGATCTAAGCGAACAGACATCGGAGCGATTTCATTTTATACTAAGTATAGTACATGATCTACCTTGTTAATGGATTGATACTGGAAGCATCTGTTATTTTAAAGTACGACCCGCAGAAATAGAGAAATAAATAACTGTGTAACGAATTTAATCCATGAGATTAAATTCGTCAAGGTATATACCTAATTCTCATTATTTTCAGCTAGTGCCACGCCACGGCTTCTCACGGGTATTTGATGGAGATATTTAGTGGATATTATTTTCATCACAGTTGCACGTTACACAAAACTGTTACTTAGCAACAAGGACACTAATTTTAAATGTGACGGATTATACTCTTTATTCTAAAATCTGTGCCTAATACGTTCCCTTAATCCATTACATTTAAATAATATATCTATACAAATAAATAAAATTGGAGTATCTGTTTGTAATATTGAAAAAACCGTTTGAAGAAATTGATAATATTATATATATAAAAGAAATACGAGCTGACTTTCTTGTCAGCTCTTTTCATCTCGAAATCATTCCGAACTCACGGTAGATTTGACATATTATAAGAGTCTGTAATAGACCTACATGAATAAAGATATTTTGAATTTGAATTTGAATTTGTCAGGTCAATCTCCATGCTATCTTACAAAGCATAGTTCATTCCTTGTAAATTTATCACAATGGAAAAACTGTCCGAAATGATTTTATCCTCTACTATTTATATATATAGCATTTGCATATAGCATTTGATATTCAGAAGCGACTAAAATGTCCTACATGAATTAATTATTTTTGATTTGCTCTGATTGTATATCTAGGTTAGGACAGCCTCGGTGGTCTAATGGTTTAGTACACCGCTTTACTATCCGATGGTCGTGGGTTCAATTCCTCGCACGGTACAAACATTTGTATTCATGAGTATGATTGAGTGTTTTCTATGTACAATATGTATGTATTTAAAAAAAATGTATCTAAGTATTTATATCAGTTGTCTAATACCCATAACACAAGCTCTGCTTAGCTTGGGACTAGATGGCGCTGTGTGCTGAGATATTATTATTATAGGTTAGTGAGGATGAAAACACCTTTACCCATACTTCAATGACCATTATAAAGATCTCTGTTAAAATTGTATGTTATGTACCTAATGCCGTGACAATTGGTTGAACCGTTTTCCCCAAACACCGCTAACAAACTCACTTTTACGTTTATAATTACAAAGATAACATCTCTAACACAGGGATTCCCTAATACTGATCTTACGGCTACATAGTAATATTATTGTTCCGAAATGAATAAATATTATTATTAATTTTATTGACAATGTACAAAAAGTATTTTTAATTAAAAAAATATATTAGTAAGTATAAGTGAACATTTAACCTTAAATGTCTTTTAAATTGAAATTGCAATAACTTTCATTGTTAAAAACATTTCAACAATCATAATAATTACATTAAAATTGAAGTACAAATATTTTCCATTAATTTGAAATATTCAATTATCTGCATGAAAATATATCGCACTTCTAAATTTAATTTCCAAGAATTAATGTGTTCATATAAAAATATTCAAATGTATATTTACACGTAGAAATATCACGTACCTTTAAATTGGAATTCCAAAGTACAAAAAAGTATTCACTAATACTGTAACGTTTCGTAATTTAAAATTCTATTGCCGGGTTTAGGCGTGCGTAATACGCGCAGCCGAGTAGCGGAGGGCGGGCGGGTACGTGCATTCTACGCCGTAGCCCGTAGATGACTGGCGTAGCACCGCCGGAATTGTCTGATAGTGATCAGGCTCACATCATGTTTTTGTATAAATTTGAAAAATAAAACCAGTACTTTAGCTTATATATAAAACATATTTGTTGACTTTTATGAAATTTTTAATATTATAGGTCTTAGAATGGTAGGCGCTTTCATATCCCTAGGTGATAAGGTCGCCCTATTAAGAAATTTTATGAAATTTTTGTGTTATAGGTCTTAGAATGGTATGCTTTTTTATATCCCTTGGTGATAAGGGGAGCCCTATCAAGAAATTTTATGAAATTTTTAGTGTTGTAGGTCTGAGAATAATAGGCATTTTTATACCTCTAGGTGATAAGAGTGGTCCCATCTCGAAATAATTTATACGACAAAGTAGCGAGTCAACTAGTTATTTAAATAATATATCAAAAGGAATATAGGTGCGATTGCGAAATTTATAACTTTTAAAACAAATTCTCAGAATTACGCTGATAATATTCGAAATGAGTTCCATTTTCAATTAGTCTTATTCGTGAAATTGTTGATAAATAAAGCATGGAGATAAAATTCTAAGAAATCGTAAAGAACCGAACGCTTGTTGATGTATTAATGTAATTTTATTTAAGTTGTTTTATTACAGTACTTGTAATAAATTAATTTTGGATTGGTAGGTAGTAGGTATGTACTACCTAAAGTACTCAATAACCGGTTCGAAAGAAAGAATCCCGAGTGTTGTTTTTATACACACAAGTGCAGTGCAAGCCGACTTTCTGTGTTGGAGTATATAGTCTTCAAAAATATGTCGACACCAGTAATTACTTTACTTTACAATAATTTGGAATTGGTTTTACAATAAATTGGAATTGGTATAGAAATCCTATCGGATTATAAAACCTGTGTATAATCTATGTAATGTATGTATGGAAACGATTTTTGTATTGTGATGACTTTCGGCACAGAGACGTGGTCGCTAACTATGGGCCTCATGAACAAGCTCAGAGTCATTCAGAGGGCAATGGAGAGGGCTATGTTCGGAGTTATTCTGCGTGATCGAATCAGAAATGAGGAGATCCACAGAAGAACTAGAGTGACCCACATAGCCCGAAGAATTGCGACTCTGAAGTGGCAATGGTAGTAGGACAGATGGCCGTTGGGGCAGTAAGGTCCTCGAGTGGCGACCACGGACCGGAAGATGCAGCGTGGGAAGGCCTCCAGCTAGGTGGACCGACGATCTGGTCAAGATCGCTGGAAGGCATGGGATGCGAGCAGCGCAGGGCCGATCGTCGTGGAGATCTTTTGGGGGGAGGCCTATGTCCAGCAGTGGACGTCTTCAGGGCTGCGAAGATGAAACGATAGATGGCTGGATGGATGGATAAATAATATGGTGGCTTATATAATGGAATGTGATGTGAATGAATGAGGAGAAGAATCTATTGATGGTTGAGGTGTTAAGACTAGTGTTTGTGCCTTTTAGTGAAAAGCGAAGATGGTGTAATCAAACTCGGAGATTTCAGACTAGTTTTTTAATTACTTGAAATTGGTACAAAGTGGTTGCATATGATAATGCGTATACGATCGTTAGCGAATTTCAAATATGAACTTATAACGGTTAGCGTATTGTTTCTGGTACGCTGAAAACCGACGTTTCAGTGTCGCTGTATAAAAAAATAATATCTGGGCCACATATAGTACAACCGAGCCTGAAGTTCTCAAGAGGACACCTCATCTGCCACAAAATTACTCTGCCATATACTGCCACCCTTCTTACCTATAGGTATACCGGAACTTAACTTGTAAATCAAGCTACTTGTCGATAGAAATAGATGAGAATAATGCAGACTTCATCTGCTTTTCTTAGGTTTAAATATAGCCTCTCGTCATACAACCTTTTATGTCAATTTTAATTGAGTTCACTTAGCCGTTTAGTTGTGAAAAAGTAACAAAGAGACAGACACATTTCTTTATTTAAAATATTAATTATGCTACGTTAATTTATATGCGCTCGAAATGCGAGCGAGAGGTATACATTCGAAACCTAGAATCTTCTAAAAGACTATAGAAGACTCTAAAAGACTAGTTATACAATATCTATCCATAACTGCAGTAAGTTATATAACTTCCAGTATATACCAGAAGTTGTACCGAAAGCAGCACTGGCTCCTGTCAGATTTGGCTGAGCAGGTGAGGTGAGGGTACACGAGCTGTGATGGTGAGTGTTCACGTACGTTGGCAAAGCCTAATACCTACACCCGGATGACAAGTCCCGGGAACTGCTCGGAGTTTTCTTCTCTTCCACACGATGGACCGTTACCTCTCTACCAACACCCGCACAGCGAGTTCATGAAATGATAAGAAGTTCGTCTCTTTAATTTTACACAATCGACCTCCGACTAACTAAGATGTTAGTGTCTCAAGAAATTTTGCGAATTCTAATTCGCTACACTATTGTATAAATACAATAATCCTATTCCATGTTTATTCATAAAGCACTGCTCAACATGCCAAATCGTGTCTCTTCTGGCTTATAATAATTACCATTTAATTAATTGAAGCCGACTCAGTATGTTGTAATCATACCTACAGCGTGTGTAACACCAGTGCCGGACTTGGTAGTGAAAGAAAAAACGCAACTGAGGTAAGAATTTGCATGAAGTCGTGCTTGTAAAAAACATGCTCTGAAAGATAAGGCAGTAAAATTTACTGATTTATGACTTATGATCTTAGTTCCCCTGAATGGCAATATGTGAGGGGATGTGCATGGGCATGACGTTATATTGATGTATATAACAATAATAAAACAGAACAATTCGCACAGCGTCATGTAGTCCCAAGCTAAGCAGAGCTTGTAGTATGCATAATTGTTAACCATAGTACAAGCTCTTGGATATTTTTTTGGGAATACATAGAAAACACACAGAGTTTTAAAAACAATGCTTGTTTGTTGAAATTGAGTATGATACTCATGAATACCAATGTTTGCATCGTGTAAGGAATCGAACCCGTGATCATCAGAAGTAATGCGAGACGCTACACCTCTAGACCGTAGCTGTCTATATGGGGGACGATTGCTAGTTACCATCAAATGAGCTTCGGATTACCATTCTAGGTACATTAAAAAATATTTCGTTAATTTTGGTCGTGAAAATGTAAGAAGCAGACAGACACGTTTAGCATTTATTTAATATATTTGTATACATATTGTGGTAAAAATCCATTATACATATTTTTTAATTTACGTTCTCTAAAACTTTCCTTGTTCTATTAAATTTTGCCATTTTACTGTCTAGAAAATTTTGCCACCTTATGAATTTGGGGCTTTAGGCCAGCCAACAGGGGCCTACACCTAAATCCGTCACTGTACGTGCTAGGCAAGGTACATATTATCGTAAACTCAACCGACGACGTCGGATAATTAGGCGGTTGTTAAACGAAATGTTAACGAAATAAAACCTTATTTTGTTTCTATTAACAAGCTCGTAATTGAAGTGCCTTTTAGATACAATACGAATTATTTTTCAAAGAGAAATAAATACGATTTTCATGAGAAATAATATTACGTAGGTACTGTAATGTTTTTTTTTAATAATACTCGCTGGAGTAGACGATGTTCTAGAGTAGAAAACGTGAATCGGTAAACATACTCGACGCAGCTATATCAACCGACGACATACATACTCGATTTGAGGATAATAAATAGAAGAAATAGATTAAGATGGTGCCTAATAGTGTTTCTTTATAGTGGTAGCATAAGGCAAACAAGCATACGGTCCATCTGATGGTAAACGGGTTCCTTAGCCTATGCTCACTTGAAACACCAGGGGCAGTGCGCGTTACCGACCCTTAAGAAACCTTAATTTACTCTTGATAAACCGCATGCTGTAGTTTCTCGAGAAAACCTCGGCAGATATTGGAGCTTTTTCCCGCAAATGGGGATGAACATCTAGGGATGAACTCCCTGTCGATGGCGAGCATGTTAAAAGTTAACCATGGGCATCATTATGATATAACTTAGTAATGTGTCTTAGGAGAGGTTAGTCCAGAAGTGAATTCCAGTGGATTGATGACTTTAATAGCTAGAATGAATAGCTCTACTAAGCTGGGAGTTTTATTTAGAAATAGTGATGACAAACAAGATTACAGTGTACTGGATAGAAAGTGGTAACTATAGACATAAATATGGTAAAATATCGCAACTGTAATAACTTTGCGTATCATTTTTAGACCCTATTTTATAAGTAATAATGCTTAATTTACTAAATTTGGATCTGAACTTTTAGACTAAATTTAAGCAAACATTAGATTCCAAATTTCAATCAAGAAGATAGTATTTTAGTGTAGGGGAGAGCGAGTTTGCTACCAATAAGTAGCTTTTGTAACATGTAACCGAATAGTTAGTCGAACTCGCTTAGTTTGCATGTTACTTGAGATACTTACTTTATCTATGTCTATCTATGTATATACATGTATAGAAGTATCTGGGTTCATTTCTACTCTGTACAGCGGAGTTTAGGGTGGAACCGAACAGTAGTTCGATTCCAACCTACTTGCGTTCTACAATACGCTTCTGTGGTTGATCATTGTAATGGATTGATAAGTACATTTTTATATTTCATTTTCATACAAGGCTCTACATGCCATATCCGTTACGGTTTTTGAGTTAAGGTCTATAGTGGTTATTGTACTTGTATCAAAAATGAAAAACCGTTACATGATTTTCTATACTTTGCTATTTTAAATAGAGAAATGTGTAATAATGTTACTCACTGATTAAGTCGGTTAATCACGTCCCAATAATGTGGTCGAAATTGCAAACAGAGACTAGTTAAGTAAATAAACGAGAAATTCTCACAAAAATACACACAATATATTTGGTATTATTACGACCCTCGTACAGATTCGCTCGTAACGAGACATGAGTTAATAACGAGGTAGGACCAGTGCTGG